AATGTCATGATGGAAATATTTAATATACTTTGAGATATATTACTAACAGTTTATATTTATACTACAGAGAATTCTTCTAATATTATACTCATTAATTTCGGTGTTGAAAATGTGTTAGCTTGACTTACACAATAACTATGGCTTAAAAACCCTAAATAAATGTTTCATATAATTTGCCCTAAACTATTCAACGTTACAGTTTTGGTTTATTTTGTTATTAAGATCAAAGTGTTAATGAATCGGATATGAATAATATACAATGAAAGAATAACAATTTTTAGTTTCCTGTTCATAAAAGCTGACAAATCCAAAAAATATTGTTGACTTTTAGACCCGCTAAATTATCACGTAACTTATTCACCAATCGGAATACGACTTATACAATCTTAGTACTGTGCCGAACCAATGACGTTCGACCGATATGAGCAGCCTAGCATCCTTATTGGCCCTTTTTCCTGCCTAGCTCTGCCAGTTAAGTCCAGAAAACCAACACTAGCTTCCACTATAGGAATAATTTATTTCAAACATACTTGATTTATATACAAGCCAAACAGACCACATTACACCATAAAAATAGAAAATAACATTTGTACAACATCAAGCAAAAAGTGGTTGTGATTGTGGTAGGCTGTGATCAATAAACTGAGGATAATTTAAGAATAGCAAATCGTATCATAATAGTCTACAGGTCAAAAAATAGCTTATAATAAAAGGTATATAGATATATATGATCTAGTTACTGAATAGTTATATATATATATATATATATATATATATATATATATATATATATATATATATATATGATTTACAATAATTAAATAACACTCATGGAGTAGATACGTTACGTAATGATTATATAATGACATCGATTATAAACTAACATTAATTGGAAGAGAAGGATTAATACTAATCAAAGTTATTATTCGAAAATCAAGCTGTTGCTACGTTGCATAATATATAAAAAAGAGAAATAAGAAGCAAAAATTTTGATGAACGGTCAGTAAAATAGTAATTATGTAAGAATCAAGAGACGATTGAAGAGAATAAGTAAAATACAAAATACAAAAAATGGAAGGCATAATATAATTGTTTACCGAAATTATGCTACAAACTCCGCTATACCGATGGCCAAGGTAGCGAGAGTGGTTGTACAAACTTCTTTTGGATACATAGGTTAGGTTTGTGGATATGAATTGCGATGGCTTCAGCTATGTGCAATAGACGAGCTCGTAAACCATGTGGCAAATTTGATGGAATATGGTAGATAACCTTAAAAGCTTTATTCAGTTCAACCTGATGACCTGTGTCCACCAAGTGAGCGAGAATAGAACTCTTAATCCCCTTTATCTGTCCTTTAGTCAACCATGACGGATGGTGTTCTGTTATTCGTTGACGAACTTGCCGAATTGTACGCCCTATATAACTGGCTCCACAGGAGCAGTTGAATTGGTAAATACACATAGATGTGGCGAATTCAGGCAATCTGTCTTTATTAACAGTTCTTATTGTGGGGCGGTTGTAGAAGACGGTACTAAGTAGGGCTGCATTAAATGTTTTCTGTACTGCCCTTCTTAACCTCTGTGTCAAGATTTCTTCAGTAGCATCATTTAAGAATTGTAACTTTAGGAACAGTACCTTCTTCGGAACAGTAGGTAACTTTGTCCTTCTTTTCGTCTCCGTCATGTGTTTGTCGATGAATTTCATTGGATACCCATTCTTACTAAGCAAGTTTCGAATATTAGCCAATTCATCTAAAATAATGTCGTCAGAGCAAATCATTCTAGCACGATGAGTAAGGATCTTTATTAGGTTTCTTTTGTATTTCATTGGTACTGCGCTATAGAAATGAGTGTACTGTCCAACTGTAGATTTTCTATGTAATCCTCTTTTTAATGTTCCGTCAATTCTTCTGGTTAGTTGGACATCTAAAAACGATATACTACCATTCTGTTCTTCTTCTAGTGTAAACGTAATTGATGGGTGGATATTATTAAATATATTAAGGATGTTCTCCTTTTCATGTTCTTTCTCTAATACTATGAAGGTATCATCTATATAGCGACAATATGATGTTAGATGGCTAATTGTGTCTTTGAGTGGACCATTTTCTAGTTTTGCCAGAAAAATGTCTGCCAGTATAGGGCCCAATGGTGACCCCATGGCTACCCCATCTAATTGTCTATAATACTCATTGTCGAATCGGAATTGAACATTCATTGTGCATCTAAGAATTAGTTGTTTTATTGCGGATACGGGAATTACCGTTTCTAAGTTCCTCTCTGTTAATTCATTGCAAATAAAATCTACCGTTTCAAGTAGAGGAATGTTGGTGAATAGGGACGTTACATCTAATGATATCATAAATTTATTCTTGAGCGATAGATTTTTTACATTATTGACAAATTCAAAGGAATCCTTGACACTATGTTTAACAATTTCTTTGTGGAGCGGTTTGAGAATTTGCACCAACCATTTTGCTATAGTGTGGTAGGCTGAGTTATTCATATCTAAAACGGGTCGAAGGGGCAAGCCACTTTTATGTATTTTTGGCAAGCCATATAGCCTTGGTGTTCTCGTTCCTGTAGGTTTTAACATTTCGAACACTTTTTCTGAGATGAAACCCTGTTGTTTGATTTGTTTCAACGAATCTATTATTTGCTTTTCAATCTTGTCTGCCAAGTCATTCTTCACTACTAGTTTCTGAAATTTACTTTGATCATTTAAAAGGGCTTTCATCTTGTTTATATAGTTGTTTTTATCCATGAGTACTATCCCATAACCTTTGTCTGGTTTAGTGATTAATAAATTGTCATTAGTTTTAAGTTTTCTTAGAGCTTCCTTATGTTTATTCGTCAAAATTCCTTTCGAATTATGTCCATGATTTAAGTATCTAAAGCTACAGTCCACTAGTGTTGATTTGAAACTTTCGACATTATCTTTTGAAGAAGATACTAATTCTGCAGTTTGGGTATACAGATTTTCAAACTGAATTTCGACGTCCATCTTATTAACCGTCTTCTTAAAATCACAAAACTTAGGGCCTAATGATAACGCTTCTAACTCAGTCATATCAAGCTTTATACTGGAAAAATTGTGTACGTACTGACCTGGATTAGGTGGGAATTTCATTTCAGGAACCTGTTTGTCTAGATATTTCTTAAGTTTCATATTTTTCTTTTCTTTTCTTGAGTTCACCACCAGCTTAACATAGTCCAGATATTGTTTTCTTAGCTTAACAGGGAGCTCTTCAACCGCGTAAATTCGCTCGTTGACATTTTTTGACATCTCGGTAATATATGAACTTAGAGAATCGATTTGATTAAGCGCATAGCGTTTGAGAGTCCTTCCATTTGGTCGAACTCTAGAGCGACGTAACGATTTCCAATACAGTTTGGGATACAAGTTAGTTTCAATGCACTGCTTTATAAAATCAACATTTGTTTTCACTTCACTGAGCCTTGTGCTATACTTCAGATACTCGTTGAGAACCTTTAGCGCAAATGAATGCTCAGAACATTTTAATAAAGTGAAAATTCCCATTTTGACATTTGTTAATTAAAAAAGGAACGAGAAAGAACATGAAAAGGAGAACATCCTTAATATATTTAATAATATCCACCCATCAATTACGTTTACACTAGAAGAAGAACAGAATGGTAGTATATCGTTTTTAGATGTCCAACTAACCAGAAGAATTGACGGAACATTAAAAAGAGGATTACATAGAAAATCTACAGTTGGACAGTACACTCATTTCTATAGCGCAGTACCAATGAAATACAAAAGAAACCTAATAAAGATCCTTACTCATCGTGCTAGAATGATTTGCTCTGACGACATTATTTTAGATGAATTGGCTAATATTCGAAACTTGCTTAGTAAGAATGGGTATCCAATGAAATTCATCGACAAACACATGACGGAGACGAAAAGAAGGACAAAGTTACCTACTGTTCCGAAGAAGGTACTGTTCCTAAAGTTACAATTCTTAAATGATGCTACTGAAGAAATCTTGACACAGAGGTTAAGAAGGGCAGTACAGAAAACATTTAATGCAGCCCTACTTAGTACCGTCTTCTACAACCGCCCCACAATAAGAACTGTTAATAAAGACAGATTGCCTGAATTCGCCACATCTATGTGTATTTACCAATTCAACTGCTCCTGTGGAGCCAGTTATATAGGGCGTACAATTCGGCAAGTTCGTCAACGAATAACAGAACACCATCCGTCATGGTTGACTAAAGGACAGATAAAGGGGATTAAGAGTTCTATTCTCGCTCACTTGGTGGACACAGGTCATCAGGTTGAACTGAATAAAGCTTTTAAGGTTATCTACCATATTCCATCAAATTTGCCACATGGTTTACGAGCTCGTCTATTGCACATAGCTGAAGCCATCGCAATTCATATCCACAAACCTAACCTATGTATCCAAAAGAAGTTTGTACAACCACTCTCGCTACCTTGGCCATCGGTATAGCGGAGTTTGTAGCATAATTTCGGTAAACAATTATATTATGCCTTCCATTTTTTGTATTTTGTATTTTACTTATTCTCTTCAATCGTCTCTTGATTCTTACATAATTACTATATATATATATATATATATATATATATATATATTAGTCCATTAATAGTTCTCAGAAGTTACCCGTAGTTTAATCTCCACTACGATATAACAAGTGTGTGTATATGAAGGAATTAATCACTGTTATCCAAATACTTCTCTGAAGTCCGTGTTTAAATGAAGGGGGGGGCAAGTTGAAAATGATACCACTTCAAATGTAGTCAACTACTTATGTGTATGTGTGTACATGTGTATGTGATATAAATAACAGGTTAGCTCAATGTAAATAATCATCTAATTTTCAATTAATAAAATAATTGGAACATTTTCAATTTTGTGTTTTAGGGAAGGTAATGATGTAATAAGTTGTATTCGATTTGTTTCAAGTGAGTGAATACAGCTCGTAATATCGAATTGATGTTTAGGGACTAACTTGATAAACATCAACATGACGTAATCGAATGTATTTTAGGTCATAATTTAATCGAATATACGAGTTAAATTCATTGAAACATTCTATCTTACCAATAACTCAAAATTTATTTGGTTTGATTGGTAAGACGATGCATATATGTACATATTTATATTCTGTGCACTCATAAAGGATTACTTATAACTTGGAAATAGTAAGTCACTTGTAACATATTTACGGAGCTTTAATTGACAGTTTCGACAACATGTTCAGTGCCTAATTCATGTAGAAGTGAGCCTTCCAGTTATTTCATAAGTGTTATATCAGTGCTTTCTGATGACCTAGTGTGTGATAGACTGTCTTTGTAGGTTTAATTGAGTTCATTTGTCCCTGTAATAATGTTAATTGTCTTTTAACATTTGATCCATGTGACCTGGTTTCTTGTATATTTGTGTTTCTAAAGACCCGTATTTATTCTGTTGACTAAAACATCCAAGAATAAGAGATAGTTTTCTTCTTCGCTTTCTCTTGTAAATTTGACGTCATCGAAAATTTTGATGATCAACTTATGAGTACTTTTGAGCACATTTATCTCCATGATAACGGACTTATCATCTGCATAACGTATCCGAAACTTTAGTTTTATTACTGATGGAGCTGTAATCTCATACTTCTGCATCATAGCTCCTGACATTAGTCTTGATGTGGGAGATTACGTTACAGTTACTTTGTATAGCCTGCAAATCAGACTGTTGAACAGGTTACATTTTATTAGACACAGATTTGTGAGCTTTCTCACATCTGGACACAATATTTGTGTATGTCCTGTGAGTTGTTCGCCGTTGCCGAACAAGAGAACTTCAATATCATCTTCTATATCAAGACTGATCTCAAGAGCTATGATGTATCATGTGCTTCACGCCAAACAAATTCAAATCGTACTGAATATATTCTAGAATAATACATGGTTGAACCATATTTTTTCCCATTACATCATCATCAAGCTTCACTCTTGTATACAGTAATATGTTTATGTGCATGTGTGAGAATATTGAAACACTCAATACAAACTGGGAATCAGTTAGATTTTCATATATGAAAAAGCAATTATGTATGAAACTGCACTAGAACAAGCGATGTTCAATTATCTGTCATAAAGGATTCAAATGTAATGTTATATTATCTATACATTTGAATATAGGGGTTCACTTGTATACTCAGTTGAAGGAAGTGATTTAATTCAATGAATTTAGAGAAGGTTGTTTATGAATGGATAAATTCTTAATTAAAAGGCAAACTACCTCCCATTTTTAGAATAATAATAAGTCCGCTCATTTGATAAAACTCTATGAACCGAATTAAGGTCAGACATGTTTAGTGAAATGAATAAAGATGACGGCCCTCTGTGTATGACTCCTGTCCTAATGTAAATCATACTTAATAGGGCCTTTAAAAAGTTTTTACAGGTTTTCCTTTGTCAACGAATTCCTATGGCACTTAAAAAAATTATAATTCCTACATTCTGTTAAAACAGGCAATGAGTAAAATGTCATTAAATCAAACCCAAATAGTCTACGAACGAACACCTGAATTCAAAATTCCAGACAATACCTTGTTTATGTATTCAACTCCGTTCCACTTATCGAATTCAGGTAAATGCAGTGAACTTTGTCAGTACAATATATCAAACGTGTCACTTGATTTGGCTACATTATCGCTAGAAGACTATGGCAAAACTCCAACAACTAAAATCTCGGCAATGAGAAATCGATATTCTCGAAAACACTTACTTCGCGAATTACATGCTTCCGATTGTTCACGAAGAAGGAGTTCGCTTGTGGAATATCGTCACCATGATTTTAGTCATGATGTTCATTGGCGGATGATACGCTACTATTTTGTTGAATCTAAACGTTTAAAAATGAATAAAAAGGCTTGTTTAGATGATGGAGTAAATCATTCCACTAGCTTATATCGTATTTACATTGATGAAAACGGTAATAAATATTCATTTTTTTAATCATTTGTATCATTTCCGAACAATTAATTTTTTATGAAATTTGATGATAGTTTTATTCCAAACATTATTTATCATATACCTAATGTATTTTCGAAATGGTCTTTATGAAATAAACCCTCTTAAATTCTTAGTCTTTTTGAATGTAACTGCCATTCTAATTTTGAATAAACGAGGATCATTTTGTAGGACCGTTGCGAAGTTCATGTGAAATGGTACATGTGTTTTGTTAAACTTAAATATCATTACAAACTCGTCACGTTCCAAGTCAAACAGGATTTATATATCTGAAGTATGTTTCAGTCAAGTCTCTATAATACTTAACTAACGGTTTTACGGGGAATATTACTAAAATATCTTTTTCTAGATAACTAGAGCTTCGGTTTTGAATAATCTTTGGATCTGGATCACGAAAAGCATTGTTGAAGAAGTTGTGCTTTGATATTTTTGTGGTTTTGAAGTTTGTTTGCTATCAATTTTCTTTAATGTTTTATAGTATATTACTTTTTATTGGCAAGTAGTTTGAAAAACTATTTCTTGCTTTCCGTGGCGACTAGCATCATAGTAGTTTTTTGTGAATGATCTCCTAGACTCATAAACAACTTGCTCACTTGAGGCTAGTTCAGAAAGTAGCAGTGTTCTGTTCTATGGCAGAAGTGAATTGCTTTCATGTTATCGAATTGACTAACGATTTGTAATCTTGTTAACCTGTCGAATTAACATATCATATCACATTCGGGCATAAGAACTGAATTATTGTTCCTATGTTCGATTGAGAATTTATATATTAAGTATAAAGTCTGATTTGAATGTGAATCTATGTACCATCACTCTATGTAAGAGTTCTTTTAAAAAATGTACAGTTTTATAAAAATTGTAAAGATTTATGTAAAAAACAAATGAAATTCGTACTTACTTACTTACTTTCGCCTGTTACTCCCAATGGAGCATAGGCCGCCGACCAGCTTTCTCCAACCCACTCTGTCCTGGGCCTTCTTTTCTAGTTCTATCCAGTTCTTGTTCATTCTTCTCATGTCTGTCTCTATTTCTCGGCGTAATGTGTTCTTTGGTCTTCCTCTTCTCCTTTGACCTTCAGGATTCCATGTGAGGGCTTATCTTGTGACGCAATTAGCTGATTTCCTCAAGGTGTGCCCAATCCACTTCCAGCGCTTCCTCCTGATTTCTTCCTCCACTGGAATCTGATTTGTTGTCTCCCACAGTAACTTGTTGCTGATAGTGTCTGGCCATCGGATCCGAAGTATCTTGTGTAGACAGTTGTTAATAAAGACTTGTATCTTGTGGATAATGGCTTTCGTATTTCTCCACGTCCCCGCCCCATACAGTAGAACTGTCTTGACATTTGTATTGAAAATTCTAACCTTGGTGTTGGCTGACAATTGTTTTGAGCTCCAGATGTTTTCCAGTTGTAGGTATGCTGCTCTTGCTTTGCCGATCCTCGCCTTCACATCTGCATCTGATCCACCGTGTTCATCAATGATGCTTCCCAGATATGTAAAGGTTTCCACATCCTCCAAAGCTTCTCCGTCAAGTGTAATTTGATTGGTGCATATTGTATTATATCGGAGAGTCTTGCTTTTCTCTTTGTTTATATTGAGACCTACTGATGCTGAGGCTGCTGCTACACTGGTCGTTTTCTCCTGCATTTGTTGTTGCGTTTGTGATAGAAGAGCCAGATCATCCGCGAAGTCTAGATCGTCAAGCTGCATCCTGCCTGTCCACTGTATCCCGTGATTTCCTCCAGATGTTGACGTCTTCATAATCTAGACGATGACCAGGAGAAAGAGAAAGGGTGAGAGTAAGCAACCTTGCCTTACACCAGTCTTTACTTCAAACGAGTCGGTGAGTTGTCCTCCGTGGACGATTTGGCAGTTTAGTCCATCATAGGAGTTCCGTATGACATTGACTATCTTCTCAGGCACGCCGTAGTGTCGAAGAAGCCTCCATAGTGTCGTCCTGTCCACGCTATCAAATGCCTTCTCGTAGTCGATGAAGTTGATGTAGAGTGATGGATTCCATTCGATTGATTGTTCCACAATGATACGTAGAGTTGCGATTTGATCTGTGCACGATCTATCCTTACAAAATCCAGCTTGTTGATCTCGAAGTTGGGCGTCCACAGAATCCTTCATCCTGTTTAACAATACCCTGTTGAAGACTTTCCCTGGTATTGAGAGAAGAGTGATGCCCCTGTAGTTGTCGCACTTGCTGAGATCGCCTTTCTTTGGTATTTTGATCAGAAGTCCTTTTTTCCAGTCTGTTGGTACTTGTTCTTCGTCCCAAATCTTACTGAAGAGGATGTGTAGTATCTTGGCAGTTGCTGTTATATTTGCTTTCAGTGCCTCTGCCGGGATGTTTTCTGGTCCTGCTGCTTTGCCCCTCTTGATTTGTCTAATGGCCATGCTGATCTCTTCAATTGTTGGTGGGCGGTGGGTGGGTGGTGGTGGAAATTCGTAAGTAGTACTAATATGATAGATCAAAAGCTAAATATCATATCCTACTTGATAAGTCTTGCTGATTGAACTCTATATTCGAATCTTAAGCTAGTCTCGTAACTCCCAAGCTAGAGCTACACCGAGACTTTGTAGTGAACAAACACTGGTTGGGGACAATCGAATGTATTTAAGCAAATATTACAGACTATCTCAGTAAATTCTGATTACCAAACAATGAACAGTCAATTTGCAAATTAACAACCAATTGTTTCAATCTTCACTGTTTCTTCTTTTATTCCATTGCTCATGCATTTTCCAGACGATTGCGTTTCATTTCAGTTCTTTCTTCATCGGTCTTCTGCGAAAATACATTCTACGTCTGACCCACACCATATACTACTTATATAGATATAAGTAGACCACGCCACAACTTGAACACGAGAGAAAAGGAACAAAATATGCGGGAAGCACTTTACTTCAAAGGTTCATTTATGTACAGAAAATATAGGCTTTTTATAGTATTTTAAAAGTCCTTAGGTTTTACTGAAAATTCTAGAATACTACTAAATATAGTAGCAGTGTACTAATCAACCAATCAGAACCTCTACATGTGATTTTTCATTTTGGCGATATCTCTAGCAATACTTCTAATCAAACGCTGGTTGGATAAAATGCTTCTTAATGTTTCCTGAGCTTGTCATGTCTATTGCTAGAAATTTGCAGGATCATCCCAATACTATTGACTTTGATAATTTTTCAACACAGCAAGAAAACAAATAAACTTATTCAAATGCTCAGAAGATGAGATACAAATCCGATGTTAATAATAAATATATAAGGAGAATAACTAAAGTGAATAGTCCTAATGAAAAATAATTTGGTAACATAATTTATTTCATAAAAACTCCTGAGATTTGAGTATTGCATATGGAAACACTCATCATTCAAATGCATTCACAATGTTTATGAAAGTTTAACTCTATCAGAGACATGGAACTGTATCATAGGATTCGTACGGTTAAGAAGTTCCATACGACGATAAAACACATGTCTGGTGCTTCATAGCCTCCAGTGTTTATCTAAAAAAATTCAGTCGGTGGTGTGAAATTGAGAAAAAAAAGAATCACACTTAACTAAACATCCAAAGATAAGTTTCCATGTCAAACATCAATTAATTCCTTATAGGGTAGGTACAATAAAACTAATGATGAAACATGATTCGGTCAAATATCTTTGGAGAGATTAATTGAATTTAAAATTCATCTTTATTTAATGGATTGGTTCTCTACTTATTATCATTTTCGTGATGAATATCATACTCGAACCAACTGAGAATGTTATTATGTCTACTATATGATAAATATTCTTTTTAAGTAGTTTAAACAAGCGTAAAAACATATATTTTGAATTTACCAAAGAACAGATAAAGTGAAGTGATCATCAAAAGAAACTATAAGTGATTAAATATTTTGAATATTTGAGTTCAATCAACTGATCAATTTATCTTATAACTTTGTGACTTGCTTTAGGATTTCACTTTTAGGACAAGGAAAGAAATATGTTAGTGAATAGCTCTGTTTTATGAAATCTAGTCGATAATGTTTGTTTGATAGTTGGGACTGGAGCCTTCCTGATAATATGTCGTATTCGATTCTATTTTAGAATCATTTTCATACTCATCTCTTATCAGCAGTGAGAATTATAAATGAGAATTATAAATAACAACCCTAGAATTTGTATTCAAAAGAAGTTTGTTTTTATTCATCGGATATCGAGAGAAAAGCTGCCAAAAGGTTTTATCAGTTTCGACTCTCTATCGTTTTAATGCGCTCCTTTAATACTTTTTTATTACTTGTGAATTCATAACTTCATCATTTTCACACTTAATTCTTTATTACTGTATAATTTTAAATGGTCATTATTTTCAACAAACTTTCCTGTCTCAAGAATTTGTCTACTTGGGACTTCAGGCAATATGGAGGCACTCCACACAGGATGCACATATGCCACTTAGAGACTGATCAGCTGCAGTCCTAAATCATCAAAGTGAAAATTCAAACAAATAACACTAAGTGAACTTAAACTTCACCACATCGCACAAGCAAGTGGCTATCAGGACTCAGTAGCTGAGTGGATAACGCGATGTTGTTTGAAGCGAACGTTACTGGGTTGGAGTTCTAGAGTGAACATCAACTCTGAGATGCAGGTGCATCCAGCTGACGAGTCCCAAATAAGACGAAACGCGAGCCTTGGATTCCACTGCTAGTCACTATCCATCTTTGCCTATATGAATTATGTAAGTATAAAATAAGACGATAATGTATAACCATTTATAAATCTCAATAAGTATTTAACTATAAATATTTTCATAAAAATAAAATAACAAAATAACACTGATAGTATTTGATCCCAAGAATGATTAGGTTGAGGTTGATGTGAACCGCAAAACAAGAAGCCTTAACAAATTACGGAAGCTATTTTTGGGGACGTTAATTCGTTTAATTCAAAGCTTGTAAAATTGTAACATTTACTTTTGTCCCTAGCCTATTCTACAGATCATAAGCTTTCGTTTGATGTATAATTCATTGCCATAGCATTTTCTGTTCTAAAGCTATTGTCATTTAGACGTAATCTTTTGTACCCTATTTCCTACTATAATTCCCCAGTTTTGGACATGATTGTATTTTTCTAATTATTGTACGTTGTGGTCCGCTTAGTCATCTATTTATTCATGTAACTTTTCACCCTAATCTGAATTGGGAATTCGAGTGCTAGATCGGGTTGGAATAAAGTGATTAGTGTTCCATCTGTCTTGTCTTCTCTCTCTCTCGTGCTTGCCAGCCAATCAGGGACAGAATAGTTTTCGTCTCTCTACCCCTATTTCGAACTCACGCATATTCGCCTCAAGGTTAAGCCAGTCAGTCTATCGTGTCAAGGTCTTAATCTACATTATACTCCGCACTAAGTGGGTAGACAGATTCAAGGACGTAACAAAAGTGGCGACGGAGATTTTTTTTTTTTAATATTGATTGATCCAAATCAAAATGTCTGTTTCTTTGGACGACCTTAAAACTATTCTACAAATCCAGCAAGCTCAGAATGATGCAAACCAAATGAAGCTTTTAGATGCATTGATGCAGAAGCTCTCATTTCATTCATCATCAAATTCTCAGTCAGATAAATATGACAGCATCGCAAATTCTATTTGTGAATTCAATTATGATCCCGATTCTGGTATTATTTTCGATTCCTGGTTTCGCCGTTTTGAAGACACATTTCGTGTTGAATGCTCGAATCTTGATGATGCAGCCAAAGTTCGCCTACTCTTGAGAAGACTTGGAACACTTGAATATAACAAATATGTAAATTTCATTTTGCCACAAAATCCACGAGATTTATCATTTAATGAGACAGTTCAAATTTTATCTAAAATTTTTGGTGAACAATCCTCATTATTCAGCATCCGTTATCAGTGTTTTCAAATATCTAAATCCTTATCTGATGATTATCTTACATACGCTGGACATGTAAATAAAGAATGCGAACGTTTTAGAATAAATGAAATTACAGCAGATCAATTTAAATGTCTGATTTTTATCTGTGGATTAAAGAATCCGGAAGATATGGACATACGTACCAGAATTCTATCACGCATTGAGCAGGAGCCTAACATGACCCTGCAAATGGTCACAACCGAGTGTCAACGGTTGTTAAATCTTAAACATGATACCACGATGGTACAGCAAAATGCAAAGACTTCCAATTTTGCTTCAATAAATGCATGCAGATCTTCCAAACCTTCCAAACAAAAGACGGCGAACACACAGAAACCTTCTGGTAAACCACCATCATCATGTTGGTTCTGCGGATCATGGCATTTTGTGAAGTTATGCCCATTTAAGAGCCACAAATGCCGCCAATGTCATCGCATTGGTCATAAAGAAGGTTACTGCTCATCAGATAGACGTCAGTCCAAACATCGTGGCGTAAAGGTGAAGCGACAGCTACAGAGTCAAGTCAAAAGCACATTTGCAACTTTTAAAGTGGGATTTCAAAGTAAACGGAAGTATGTGAACTTATTAGTGAATGAAAAACCTATTCGTCTTCAATTAGACACTGCTTCCGACATTACGCTGATCTCCAAGAACACATGGCGTAAGCTAGGGTGCCCACGCATCCGACCAACAGAGCATGTTGCTCGAAATGCTTCAGGCGACATAGTGAAGCTAACTGGAGAAGTCACCTGCAACGTGCAGTTCAAGGAACATAAATTCACTGACGTTTGTTATCTAACAAATCGGCATGATTTAGATCTATTGGGATTGGACTGGATTGAGAAGATTGATGTCTTAAATAGTTTATTAAATGAAGTATGTTCTCATGATTCTTGCTCTGATTCTATCCAAAATTCTCATGATATTTCTAAATCAAATGCCTCTGGTGTGTCATGTTCCCCTAATGTCTATGAAGTAAATGCTTCTGATGTAAAATGTTCTCGTATTATTTCTGAATCGAATTCCTCCGATTTAATGTGTTCTCATCGTGATGTCAAATCAAATACCTCCGATTTAATGTGTTCTCATGATACTAAATCGATTACATCCGATTTAATGTGTTCTCACAATGATGTTAAATCCAATAACTCCGATGGATCATGTTCACAAAATGATTCTCCATCAAATTCGTCGAACAAAGTATGCTATCATAAGGTCTTAAAATCTCATGCATTTAATTCCTCTAAAATGCCGGCTGCATCTCACGCAAATAATCTACGAAAGCGAAATACAAAGCCCATTTTCAGACTCAAACGACCAGTAAATTATGCTGCTCTGTCAGTCGTTGATCAAGAACTTGAAAGGTTTGAAGCACTAGGTGTTGTTCAGCCAGTAAATCACTCAAACTGGGCTCCTCCCATAATAGTTGTGAGAAAGATCGGAACTCAATGGAATCGCCATCATGGGGCAAAGCGGAAAATCTATCGTCGTTCCCGATTCTCACCTTCACAGAAAGCCCAGAAACCGTGCTCAATGTGGAAATTTTCCTTGGACAGTTTCGGCATAGAAAATTCTGCAACTAAGAAGACTGTTCAACCTCAACAACATCCTATTGGGAGATCACGACAGAAACGCAAAGGACTTGATATTATGCAGATGGACCCAAAGAAAGGAGCATACTTTTCCGGGGGGAGATACCGATGATATATTAGCTACTGTTTGTAATTAGTGACTAACCGCTTTTCTTTTTTTTTCCTTCCAGTTAACCAAATTGGTCCTTTTTCTTTTACAATGACCACAACGCCGTCCAGTTTCCCTTATGCACGCAGTCAATGGCAGTGTTAACAAAACTTTTTTTTCGTCAAGGGGGAAGATGATGTGAACCGCAAAACAAGAAGCCTTAACAAATTACGGAAGCTATTTTTGGGGACGTTAATTCGTTTAATTCAAAGCTTGTAAAATTGTAACATTTACTTTTGTCCCTAGCCTATTCTACAGATCATAAGCTTTCGTTTGATGTATAATTCATTGCCATAGCATTTTCTGTTCTAAAGCTATTGTCATTTAGACGTAATCTTTTGTACCCTATTTCCTACTATAATTCCCCAGTTTTGGACATGATTGTATTTTTCTAATTATTGTACGTTGTGGTCCGCTTAGTCATCTATTTATTCATGTAACTTTTCACCCTAATCTGAATTGGGAATTCGAGTGCTAGATCGGGTTGGAATAAGGTGATTAGTGTTCCATCTGTCTTGTCTTCTCTCTCTCTCGTGCTTGCCAGCCAATCAGGGACAGAATAGTTTTCGTCTCTCTACCCCTATTTCGAACTCACGCATATTCGCCTCAAGGTTAAGCCAGTCAGTCTATCGTGTCAAGGTCTTAATCTACATTATACTCCGCACTAAGTGGGTAGACAGATTCAAGGACGTAACAGAGGTATTTTTTAAAATTATAGGCTATGAATTCAAAATAGATTACTATATAATATAAAAACTTCTGCGATATGGTCTATAGAGAGTTCCAGGAAAATATATCACCATTTGACAACATAATAAGAATTGGATAAGTAGTTAACCAATCTGGACCAATACGAAACCAATAGTTTTGTTCTTAAACGAAAAACATTTATTATCTTATCGTGATTAATTGTGTTACATAAATGTAATTTTGTGGTAGTACACAGGATAAATGTGCAATAATATATATATATATATATATATATATATATATATATATATATATATATATATACTTCTCGATAAATTGATAGACTATCAAATATATCTTCAAACCTCTTCACTTCTGATTTCACTGGATTGGCACGATTCAATCATAGAAGTTGTTACTAGTTAAGGTATTGCCGAACTCCAAATAATTGTGGCATCTTTATATATAATAGTATTAGTTTAAAAATAAGTGAGATTTCTATATGGTTGATCATTGAATATGGAGAGATTCAACTGGCACATCTTTTAGTAGTTGGTCAGACAAAGCAAATGATACTAGATAATCAATTCTGTCTGCATGCATTTGATCGTATTCTACGTTCAGTTAGGAAAGTTTCTGTGATGTTAAGATAATAGTTTTTTTTATAAAAGAATTATAAACTATTGACTTAAACCAGTGCTTCCAGGTTTTCGATGGTGGTCTAGCTTCAATTGACTCATGATTTCAACAGTTTTATATATAGTTGAAATCATGAGTCAATTGAAGCTAGACCACCATTGAAAACCTGGTCTGTTGTAGAGATATCAACTCACTGAAGACAATTGGTGAACAGTCTCTCAAAATCGTGGATTGGTTGAAGTTAGACATTAACATCGTTGGATGCCAGCTCAGTGGTCTATCGGTTAAGGGCTCTTGCTCGAGACTGGTGGGTCCTGGGTTCAAATCTCGCGAGTGCGGGATCGTGGGTGCGCACTGCTGAGGAGTCCCATAATAGAACGAAACGGCCGTCCAGTGCTTCCAGGTTTTCGATGGTGGTCTAGCTTCAATTGACTCATGATTTCAACAGTGAAAATACTAAATTCTCCACAAAACCCCCTCTGATCCATATATAAAACCACATTTCATCAGTGGACAAAGAAATTTCTTTAGATTTTATTTTATAATAATAATAGTTGAAGTGTGTGAAAATATGTTACTACGAAAATGACTCCTTATATTATTCATCTGAATTTGACTTAGACATGTTTAGAATAATAAAGCGTACAAATTCCCACAACTCATCGGTGTATCGTGGAAATACTTTACGTTTTGTTTTAAAGATATTTCACTGTGAACTTGTACAGTGCAAAAATGAACATTTATTTCCCACTTTTTCACTTACATCTACGAAAGTTTGTATTGAGTGGAATAATCGAATTTCTTGGTTGATATTTTAGCCAGTACGTCATATGTAGACGTTTTCCATTAGAATCAAAAGAAGAGCTATCAGATTGGGAGTTTTCCTTGATTCTTCTGATGTCCGAAATAATAGATTTGTACTCCGATTGTTTCTCTTAACAAGAAAAAGCACTGAATTACCAGAAGATTTAAACGAAATATTTTATGGATTAATGACCTTAGTTTCTTATGAGCTGACCTAAAATATTTAATGGGATTTTCCCTACTGATATACTGGACTAAAGCAAAAAAGCAAACGTAATACAATGAGATGAATTTATTCATTTTGTAGATTCCCGTCAGCTGCTTACAACCTGGAAACACTAGCAATAATTAGCAGAGATGGATAGTGGCTAGCAGTGGAATCCAGGACGCGCGTTTCGTCCTATTTGGGACTCGTCAGCTGGATGTACTTGCATCTCAGAGTTGATGTTCACTTTGGGACTCGAACCCAGTACCCTCGCTTCAAACAACATCGCGTTATCCACTCAGCTACTGAGTCCTGATAGCCACTTGCTTGTGCGATGTGGTGAACTTTAAATTCAACTTATTATTGTTTGTTTGAATCTGCTAACCATGCTTGTGAATTAAGGTAAATCGAGGCAATACGCACAGTATGCGCATATGCCAATTAGAGACTGACCAGTTGCAGTTCTAACAAATCGATGGGAAGATTCAAACAAACAATACTAAGTTGAATTTACTAGCAATAATTGTTTGCAACTAATGTGGATGCATTATATCATATAAATGAAGATAGAGTAGAATAACAGAAACAAGTACCTAATCTTGATTCATATAGTACAAATTATGTACATTGGTTGTAAATAATACTAAATATTATTTCTAGGTTTTAAGCAGCTGACGAGGACCCACGAAACGAATGAATTCCTTTTATTGTGCTATGTTTTCTGTTGTTGTTTTGGATAAACTGCTCTGTAAAACCTGAAAGCTTTAATCTTCATCTTCGTATGTGATTCAGTTGTTTAATTTATGAAAGGAAAATTTCATTTGATATACTTGAACTAACTGAATGTTGCATGCAAATTAACTGATATTCACTAAGTAATATACAAATACATTAGTTTAATAAAAAATAACTTAAGCAACGACATGAAAAGGCTGTAACTAATTTCTATGGAACATACTGATTGACAATTCCCTTAGTTAGTTGATGTTAATTTTTGACAGATGTTACATTTACATTATGCTAAATCAGAAAATGGTGAAAAATCTTGAAACAAATTAATAATCGTTGATGAAATGTTATATCACCGGGAGGTAGTGTGGTGTGGCCAACTTATATCCATATAAGTAGTATATGGCGATGGTCAGACAGAGAATGCATTTTGGCAGAAGACCGATAAGAAAAGAACTGAAATGAAGCGCAATCGGTAGGAAAATGCATGAACAATGAAATTAGAGAAGATGAACTGATATTTACATAAGAAACAGTGAATATTGAGACAATTGTTTTTTATTTTGCAAATTAACTGTTTGCTATATGGTCATCAGAATTTAGTGAAATAGTCTGTAATTTGTGCTTTAATACATTCGATTGTCCCCAACCGGTGTTTTGTTCACTACAGTAGTAGTAAATAGAATAGTATGATTCCTTTTCTCTCTAGAAATAACGAAACATTTGCACTCAATAAATAAGTGATAAAAAGTGTGAGAAAATGTGTAGATAGAACTAACGCACACACCAAACTGTATCAGGGGGCAAGCGCTTACCTAGTATCCTGAAGGGAAACGGAAGAAAGGAAAACCGAAGGACACACTGCTTCGAGAGTTAGGAGCACATGTGAAAAGAATGAAAAGCAACTGGAGAGAACTGGAAAGGTTTGTCCATGTCAGAGTTGGATGGAGAATGCTGGTGGGTGGCATATGCTCCTCCACGAGAGGTAACAAGCGTAAGTACGCACACATGGAAAACTTCTGCAGTTATTGACATGATAAACTAATTGAGAAAGAGTAAATGACAAAAAGTAGTAATATAACTGGGGATAAGAAAAGAAAGATGAATGAGTACAAACCAAAGACATCTATAAACATGATAAAATAAGGTTGTGAAATTGTCCTAAAAGATTTTGCACGTAACTGTTGAATTCGAAATCCACTTACCATGCTTTTTCCATATATCCGGAGTCCACCCCCCAAACAGCCTGACATTAAAATACAATGCACGCAAAGTCGAGTCACTTAAACCAGTGGAAAAATTGTAACTTGATCTATGTTTTCCTATCAGTACTCAGGACCAGACGAATATGACATTGGTAACTATTCGGAGATAAATCAATATAAACCGAAAACCTTAATTTTATACTGGTCCGTTGATCTGACTACTGTTTGGATAGACATTATGAACATATGTTTTTCAATTATATCCGTATATTACCTAGGCTAACCTCGTTTGTGTGACGGAGGTAATAAGTAGCTAAATACGGATTGAGTTGGATGAAATGATTTCAATCAGTCATTTCTTTAGACAGATAGAATGAGAAGCGGGAAAACGAAACGAATCGAAGCAAAGAAGAAAGCGAGCCAACTCATTCTGAAAAGGCGTGGCGCAATATTTATAGTCGAACAAAAATAAATTACAGACACTTAATAAATAGAGTAAGCAATGCACACGCATACGCTGATATAAAAACAGTCAAGGTTAATGCGCGAATAATTGGAAAGGTTAAAATTTGACTCAAGAAGAATAAACTTGTTTGTCTGGAAGCTATAATAATCCATGTAGGCTTGATATTAGTACTAGACACTATAACTTCATCCTTCCCCATAGGATTAAAATTGACTTGTGTGAGGTAAACGTGGATACTGTTAGGATAACAAATTGAAAGATCCTGGTATTCTGAACTTTTTTAATGATAAAAATCACGCTGTGAATATACTTATAATTAGCTTTCCATTGTTTCTCCAGCTGCTGTCAAATTGTGTCGAAAAAGTTTTTAAACTATGCAATTAATTCTACAAAACATGTCAATTAATCATGTGCTCCTCATTTGGAAACAATCAGCAGGAAACTTTTATACTGATTTTAATGATTATCGATATCAACAAAGTGTATTTTCGGTCTTTATTGAATGAATTTCTACTATGCTATTTGAACTCACCCAATTAAATGTCACACGGAGGATTCACCTAGGGAAGTTGGAAAACCCTCATTCCAAACCAATAGTGCACATGGGCTCCAGTATCCTGAAGGAACAAATGGTGTATGAATCAATCGTTGGTCACCGGCTACTATGGGACTGCATCTCCTTACGATGCTCCACTGCCCTGTGGATCAGACATTTAGGTCAAAGGCTCCGTGTGTGGCCCCTTAAGAAAACCACCTGCTTCAGTTTGAGCATCTGGGCAGTATCACAGCCCTAATACAAATGAAATGAGATTTGTGTGGCGCATATATATCTGGTGCTCCTTTGTACCAGTATTTATGTGTTTAAATAAATAAATACTGTATAGATTGGTTTATTATTATTTCTATGTTCCAACTGAATAGTTATGGTGCAGTTAAAAGAAATTTGGGAAATTTATTT